CTATATTAAAAAACTATTTTGAATCAATTTGATGTGACCTGAATCAACAACAGCTAGTTTTTTTTTTAAATGGGGAGTTAAAGTTTTGATAGCCTTTCGAAAAAAAGGTATTAAATAAATTTTTAAAATCCACAATTCGACTTTAACAATTCCTAAACAGCAACTGCGAACGGCTTTCTAATATCCGTTGCATACCGTCAAATTCTTTTACTGGCCGTCAAAATGAACGCCGAGTCTGACCGTAGAATCGGGTCTGTGGCTTTCTCAAACTGTCCTTTGAGTACAAGTGTCGAACCTTTTGCTGTCAAATACGACTCGAAGCTTAAAAATTTAGCTCCAGGCTTACAAGGCCCGTTTTTATACGTTTTTTATGCGTTTTTTGCATTTTTGTATTGTAGAAAAAGCATATTGAAGAGAGGTTGTCTATGTGTATGTGTGTGTGTCCGTGTGTGTGTTTGTGTGTTCGCTGTGCATCTGTATCGATTTTTCGTCTCGAGAACCGCAAAAGCTACAGGACTGAAACTTTGGGGGCTTAATCTACATACGCGTACGGGCCTCCGTCTTCAAAATCGGCGTTCTTATCCGCGTGGTACCCATGTACGGGCTCGCCAAAGTTTTTTTCGAGTAATTTGCTAACTCGAGAACCAAGAAAACTAGAAAGCTGAAATTTTAAAGGAATGTTTTGAGATATCCTTGGTGGCTAGTCTCAATTCTCTTAGCTAGAAGCATTTGCCGGAAATAACGGATGCCAGAAGGGAAAAAAACTGCGGGGAACTATGCAAAAAACGCTTCTTCGCACCGACAGTCGGTGCGCTGGCCCTTTATAATTGTGTCTATGCAATGCAAATCTGTATGTGCGTCTGTACCGATTTTTCATCTCGAGGCCTACAAAAGCTACAAGGCTGAAACTTTGGGAATTAACCTACATGCACGTACGAGCTACTATCCCCAAAATGGACACTCTTGCCCATGTGGTTCTCACGTATGGGTCTGTGAAAGTTTTTGCGGGTAAGTTGCTAACTTGGAAACCTGAAAAATTAAGAAGCTGAAATTTTAAAAGGATGTTCCTCATTCAAGTAGCTCTTAAAGAAATTAAACCCAGCCTCAGGTTTGCGTGGTTCCCTTGTATGGGTTAGTGAAAGTTTTTGGCGACTGAGTTACTAACTCGGGAAGCAGGAAAGCCAGAAATCTGAAATTTTAAAGGGATGTTTTCTGACAGTCACAGTGGCCAGTCTCAGTTCTTTTAGCTAGAAGCATTTGCCGAAAAAAATAGAGTCGTTAACGACAAAGACCTGCGGGGAACTGTGCAAAAAACGGATCTTTGCACCGGCAATCGGTGCGCTGACCAATTATTAAACTTGCGGGCTTCAAAAATTGGCCTGTAACCCAGCATTAAAGGATAGCAAAAGGGTGGGAAAATAAGTGTTCATTTCGTGTAACCTGTTCACATGCACACGCGCACCACAGCACCGAGAGCGATAGCGCGGGATTGATTGTGTAATCTATATCGAATAGAAACGAACTGAACAGGAATGAATGACGAAATGGGTGATTGGAAAATGTTGACGTTGGTAATGTGTTCTCACTGACCAAAGCCCGATAACAACCGCTGAGTGCGCGGAAAGAGGAGGTGGTGGTACTTGGGTGAGGAGGAATGTGCTGCAATGGGCAGGATGCGGGCAATTAGAAATGCGAGTGTCCAGCTACACCGCATTTAATGCTAAAACTCGTTTTTATTAAACATTCATTATACAATGTTTTTAGTGTTCTTTGACTACACTCATGCCATCTGCTGCTTGTTTCCTCCTTTTCAGGCTTTTTGTGCTCCTTCTAAATTCGACAAAACAATCTTCAAAATGATCTCCCAGCGCACCTTTCTCTCGCATTTTTCCCTAATGCATTGGAATTTCAGCGATTTCAGGAATGTGATGTTGCATACTACGGCCATTTCTTTATTGCTTTCGATTGTCTATGCAAGAATTTCTGGAGAAGAGAACGTATCAGCACTGCTACTGGTACTTCATTTGCTTTGCCTGCCACCTGTTAGCGACTCTTTTTTGCGAATGCATATTTTTGGATAATTCAGCAGTACATATTTTTGGTTGACTGTACCACTGAACTGATAATACACCTATCCTTGTCTCACAAATTGTCGTGATAGCGTGTCGCATCTCATTG